GAAGTCTATTTGTGGTACAGCCATTACAAGTTCAAAATCTGCTACCTCGGCGAAGCTGTCCATCTGAGCAAAACCAAGCAAACGCCGCCGCACAATTAGAGACAGAATTTTCTGCGGCGACACGAGCTTCAAACTTGAAGCTTGGCCACCAATCAAAAATGCAGCATCTTGGCCAGATGCATATGAGCTGGCCAAACACTCCGATAGGACCATCCACCGATTTTATTCTCGTCAGTCGTCAAAACCGTGAAGCCAGTGTCGATGCAGTGATAGAGCAAAGGGGAATCGAGCAGTACATCAGCGTGTATCCGATCCTCCATGCCATTTTCCACCAGTTCTCCCCTAACGCCTAGACCCTCTCTGCAATTACTCCATTTATACAGTGTATTTGGCCTTGGCTCTCGTACTGCCAGCATGAGCACTATCAGAGTGGCCAGAGAACTCAACCTGTTCGTTATTGGGGAGCTCAAGAACCTCCTTGAAACGTCTCCCAATAGACATGAGAATGTCCTTACTCTTTTCTCCGCTACGGCCCTTGCCACCAGCAACATCGCCGTCTCCACGGCCCGGAATGCTTTTGCCAATGGTACGAGTCCAGACACCGATACGATAGAAGGCCTTTCGCACGTTGACAACGACACCCATGACCTCGCCATCGTCCTCCTCCTCCAGAGTCTCACCAATGGCACCCATCATAACTTGCAGCCACAGGCGGTCAATATCAACGTTTCGCTTCTCCTTGTACTGGAATGACCACTTGCCACCATGCTTGTTCTGAGGATCTTCCCATTCGGGTCGCACTCCAGCCTTGAACAAGTGGTAGTCAGATTTGAGGGCTAGGTCAGAGACTGGGGCAACGTTGTTCTGTGTTGAGTTAGAAGCTATGATTATATGGCTCTTGCGATCCAGGATGAAGCTTACGTAGACACCCCAAAACTCCTCGACGGAGTCAAAGGTGATGACTTCCTTCAACAGATCGTTCCAATTGTCACCCTAAGAGCGGTACATTAGATCTATGCTCGATTCATAGCATTCAGTGCACTGGCGTCCATACTTTTCCACTCGGGGGTTTGGTAAACCACAAGGTCCACTTATTCTGAAGCGGGTGCTTAACATTGAAGTTATCCTTATCGTGGAATACAGTCACAGGCTTGTCACCGTCCTTGGCCTCGGTGCTCTCACTCTTGCCATTGGGAGAGATGGGGATTGTGGAAAGGTCAACCTGCTGGTCCATATTGGGAGTTTCGGAGGTAGCGGCCATTGTGTATTGTGGCTTTTGTTTGATGTCTGTGGTTTGTCCCACGGCAAAATCGCCAGAGGGTAGTTGGGGTGGAGGATGAACGGTAGCGGTCGAGACGTTTGATTGTGGGATTTGCAATGTTGTCGTCTAGCTCGGTCGTGGAGTTGAAAGAAATAGATCGACTATCTTCTCACTCTGAGGGAGAGATGCAAGATGCAACTTTGCGCCAGGCAAAGACGTGCTGTCTTGCAAAGGGTTGTAGGGATGAAGGGCGAGGTGTCAATGGACAGAAAGTGGAAGTGACGAACTGCGCGACTCGCTGCCACCCGCAAAAAATTAATCTTGGTGTCAGGAGCGGTCGACGAGACTGCGTTGGCAAAATTTTCTGCCTTATAAATATGGCATCAAGGCTGGACTTTCACATGCCTACCCTATACTTCTCCTGTGAATATTTATTATCGATTCACTTTTTAGTTCAGTAGTTATTTATTTATTTATTTTACTGGTTATCTGTCTCATAAGGTATATACCTTAAATGTTAGCCTATGTAGCTTTTCTTTTACTTCCATAGAATACTAGGATATTTGCCTGAATACTCCGATAAACTATCACCGCCGCAGCATCCGATCAATGGCTACACTACAGCAGGCTGCTATCCTTCTACTTTAGTACCGCCCCCTGCTGTTCTGGAAGGCTCACCGAGTAAATGCAAAAATGCGACTCGAACACTTGCATGCGACTTTTGAGACGTACGTTTTGATGTGGCGGTGTCTCATGAATCATGAGCGTTGAAGTAGGCTGTATCAGCTTCAGGCATAAGCAAAAGCTCACCCCAAACATCTATTGAACTCAGCAATGCGAACCAAAGCCAATAACGCACTGACCCAAATAAATGTCTTGCCATTGATTATGATTAAAGCAGCAAAATTAGATGGGTTGAAAAACATAACGGTCGAGGATCGCGCAGTTTCTCCCGATTAGTTTATTTCTGTTTCTCTGTATCGTTATTCCATCCACATCGACGAGTATGTGGAATCCGTGGCCATTTTGATTGATTGTTCATCTGCTCTATCACTTCACGAACATTTCTCACTACCGATTGTTACCCATTAGAAAGTGAGCTGGACATACGTCCTGGGCAAGCAAACTCGGGGGTTCTAAGGATAATGGTTTTAACGGCATCGCCCCACAAAGTCTGTTGCGAGGCACTTTTGCCTAAGATATGATGCTTGACAGTGTCGAGCCTACAAAACCCTGCGTTTATAGAAATCTGTTTCTACAGGGCCAGATCAAACGTGACGGCTGGGGAAAATCTTTTTTCATCGAGATTGATATTTTGTAATTGGACGTTTGTTCCCAACATCCAGAAACGCTTCCGTAGCTCAGTTGGTTAGAGCTTCGTACTAATAAACGTTAGTGATGCGGAGGCCGCAGGTTCAAGCCCTGCCGGGAGCAAAATCGTTCCACGATGCGTTTCGTCGTTAATTTTTTTGCTGTCGTTGTATCTTGACTCATTGATACCTTAGCAATTTTTCACACCCGTTCTTCTTTGCATTGGTGTGTGATTAAGTTTATCATTGTGCCTGCATGTCTGCACTACTCCTTCGCGTCGTGTCAGCCCGCCTTCCGGGCAATTCGCCCGGAGGAGGTCAGTAACTACCGGCATCAAGATTCCGGGCTGGCCGGATCGGTTTTACAAAAAATATTTTTGAAGTGTTATTTATTACACATTGCTACTGAGGCTTCCAAACACTGACCATGTCAGTGTCTCTGCCGGCCTCATAAGTTCTAGGCGGTTTGAAATACACAATCCGCTTGAATGGGCCATTCTGTGTCCTAGTCTCCTCTCCAGTCTCCTCAATAACTCCATCTTTACCCTCCGCCAGAATGTTCCAATGAACGCCATTCAGGCCCCAAGGGGGACCTACAGCTTTGAGGTCTTTATACATGGGAAACTCGAGACACACCAGTATACCGGTTGGGGCAACGAGCTCCCTCATACGGCGACCCCAGTCTCTTCGCATTTCCGGCAACAGTGCACAGAGGAACTGGTTCGCAAACCCAAGTCAACACGCAATTACAATTCACCGCTCATGGGAAACCGCTGGCAACGTACCGTGTAGTCGTAAATGAGGTCAAAGCCCTCAACCCCGTCCTGGGCGAGAGTCTGTTCCCAGTCGCGGACAAAGAAGTCCCCTGCGATGATTCTCACCCGGCCAGGCTGACCACTCGGCTGGCCGTTGCTCCCAAAGTTGTAATCCTGTGGTTCAACCAGTTCCCTGGCTGCATAGTCCCTGGCTATCTGTGCACCTTTTGCAGAGACTTCGAGTCCGTATACGTCGAAGCCGTGCAAGGCTAGCATGGCCACATCGTACCCTTTCCCACAGCCCTGTGTTACGCGTCAACACCGATATTGAATAGTTCCTTACCATTGGAGGGGGGGCTTTCGTACAGGTACAAGGGCACAAAGTCGTCCACCCGAAGGAGCCTGAAGGAGGTCCTGCTTGGATTCAATGAAGTCGATGAGTGCAGGAGACGGCATCCCCCGGTCCCAGAGATCGTTTTCATCAGACTCCCAAAGCGAGTCCCACCCACCACTTTGTTCAGCCCGGGACCTACATATCTTATTACCATGGCAGTGACATTGGATTTGTCCAGGCGACGTACCGGTCTGTGAAGTGGGAAATGAGACGGCCGGGGGGTTCGGGTACGGGGTTGGTCATTGTGACTTTGTTGCGCTTCCGCAGATGGACTAATCAAGGTCGCTTCGCTCAATGATGCTGTGCTCGGTGGTATTCCAAGTTTGCGTGCTTCCGACAGGCCGGCGGAGTCTGTGGCGTCGGCAAAAGACGTCAAGTTGAATTCAAGCGTCTTCTCCACCCGTCGCCGACGAGTATGGATCTGGTGCGTCCTTGTAGTTAGTTCCAAACCCTTTTATTCAACTACCTATAATTTTTCTATACCCTATGACTAGATCTACAAATCATTAGTATAGGCCGATCATTGATCAATTCAAGACTCAACGTGAATTGACAATAGTGACATACCGAACTCCCTCGGTTTTATAATTTGCATGTTCCGCAATTTGCTCGACTTATACCTGGCATCATTTACCGCAATGAAAATAAAAGTCGAAAACAAAAACCAACGTAATGATTCAAGATTCCAAAAATAGCTCATCCCTTCACAAGGTGACACTGCTTGCATACCGCTATTTTAATTTCGTCGTTTCTCTGGCTCGGGTCCAGGTGCGGCGGCGCTCTGATCGCAGCCAAGACTTCGATATTACACAATTTTCGCCCTGCATCGGCATGTAGCACCCGCAGAATTAGAAACACGTGAGACGAAGCTGATGCACCCCAGTTTCAAACAACTCATGACGGTTGCCAAGTTTGCTTAGCCTATTGTGGAGGGAAGAACCCTGAAGTCTGGCAGAAGCACCTCGCGACGTTCCGGAGAAGGGATAGATTTTTGGTAGATGAGGGCCAGTCAAGTCGCAATCCAAGAAAACGAGTCACGAAAAGTTTATCGCATGAACCCAGAGAGCACTCTACTCGTAAACACAACGAAGTGCTGGTACGGTCGACCGGACCCTTACCAGTTCAATCATGCCGCACAATTATAACCCAAACCAAGAGGGATAGTTATTTCAAGGCATGGCACTTACTAGCCACTACGGTGTTTGGCTTGGCTTGTTCCACTCGCCTCGTAAGAATGACATCTAACCAATGTCAAGGGCGTCCTTTTATACGGCTTCAAGATGCGTTGGGAACTTTTCAAGGCAGTAACCCTCGCTGCTCTGGTTCAGTCAGCGTCTGCCGCACCGTCAACCCATCAGGAGGTCAGGCTGAAGATTGTCAAAACCACCACCGAGGATGGAATCACTGTGGACTGGCTAACTCACGAACCACAGGGTGAAAATTTCACTCCTCCCTCAGAACCACCAGCGGGAGCAGATAGAGGCATTTGGACGAAAAGTAGCAGTTCGTGCTCAAGCCCAGGGCCCCCAGGGAACCATCCCAATTGCACGAGCTGGTAATGATATTCCAATGAAGCAACCCGCCCCTCTTCACATAGAAGACTCCTCCAACGCCACGGAGCTTCACGTTCTTGCCAGAATGACAAACGAGCATTGGTATGCGACTGCCTATCAAAATAATGAGACTCTCGGCGGCGGCGGCTTCATCTCTACCCACCCACAGATCGTTCCTCGAGCGAGATGAGGACTTCTCCCTTTTGCAGGTTGCTGTTGTCCATGACAGAGCTGACCGACCTAACGGCGTCGCTAAGCCAGATCAGACCGTCGAAGCTGGCTGGACGTACTATCCTGTTCTTCACAAGGGACATCCCATTCTGTTCGCCTTCTACACCACCAATGGGTATCGGAGCCAGAGCGACTATGTGGGTGGCTAAGGGCTGGTTCCAACAAGACAGGTGCATCTACCCGGGCACGACTATTTCTGCCCTCTCCGTCGAAGGAGGCAAACAGGAGGAGACGAAATCATATTCAATCTCCACGACAACTGCTGGTGGCTCTACACCAATGGGTCGATACGTCGGCTGATATCCTACCTCGCTATTCGCACCCGAAGGTGTGAATCCCAACAACACTCTGGCTACTGCGACAACCAATATTTTGCTGGATGGGGAGGTCTGCAACAGCGGCGAGCGGTTTACAACCACTGATATGGGGACTGGGCGTCATGCCAGCGAGGGTTGGAAATATGTCGCGTCGATGAGGAGGATGAAATGGATTGACACCAATGGCCAGGAGCATGATTGGAGCGGCTTTGTCCACACAGACGATCCTGCTCGGTATTTGATTGAGCCTAGATTCCAGTCAGGCATGGAGGGCTGGAGTAGCTATATGTATCTCGGAGGCCCAGGAGCTGGTCAAGAGCGGGAGTTGGCCTGTTGTTCCGCATGGGGGGCATAGTTGCTTTCTCGTGTTGTCTACTTACCTACGTAGGTAGGTAGTAGACATTAATACGATCCATGACCACTCCTTACGGAGTAAAGGGAATAAATGTTGCCGAGGGCATCGGCTCTGCAACGAGCTTCATCATTATCTTGCTCAACTCGGCTCGCCCTGGTGTTGCCATCGGTCGGTTTCCTTGCCCTGTGACGGTCCCTCACGGGCCCAGCCGAGTGTCCAAGCCTGTATTGCACCAGTTGGGAGACATTGAAGATGTTTGTAACGCTCAGGCCTTCGCCAACCACCTAGTTTTTTTTAATCAATGCGGCTCTGTACCGAAGTAGTGCTGCAAGCCACCCGGCATACTCCGTATCCTTGCATGGTGCAGGGTATCTTCAGCTGGTCTTCGTTGGTTATGGCGTGCTGTCACCCGCCTCTTTATTTTGGTCCTCGGCGTGCGCGGCACTCTCTCGTCGAACTCTGGTAACTGAGTTGAAAGTTCGTCTCTGACATGGACGCGATTGAAGTGTCTGGCAGCATTGGAGAGGCGCTCCTTCCTCGGTAAGAAGACGTTGACGGGGTACAGAGTGTTCTGTACCAACTCCTCCCATTGGTGCTCCCCATATCATTCGTCACTCAGCAGACAGCAGTGGCAGGAGGCTCCACAGGACCTCAAGCTCTCATGTCCCCCAGCCAGTCAATCTGACCCACGGATCCGGCCCGCGCATGCAGGCTCCATGGCCCCAAGGCGCTTTTTCTCCTTCATCTCTTCCAAGTCTTTAGCTCCTTGTCTCATAAGCGCCACATGCAGCATATGCCACTCAACGCACCAAGAGCGCAATTGCGCTCGACCTTACGGAGTACAGAGTACGCAGCCGGAGTCGCAAAGTGCTGCCGGCCATCTGAGATTATCATCTGTCATATTTGCTAAACCCACCTGCTTCTCTTTGTTGCTCTCCGTGGCCCCTCTGACCAGATATTCAGCCACGCAGCTTCTCACCCAATATTGAATTGGCCGACGCCTCTTTCCCATTTACGGTCGACTTTCGTCGCATAGAGGGATGAGTTACGGAACAGAGTCTCTCAAATTCCTTGCTTTTGTCTTTTCGTCCACAGATGTTCGTTAATTGGGCAACTACCTGCCGTAATCTGCACCATCACCACGCATTCACCCCCTCTCACCCGGGCCTTTTCATTCCATATCGTACTAATGATGGCCTGCATGGGACCCATGGTGTGAGCCACACTCAGCCCAACGTTGGAATACGGAGACATATTAGTTCGGGTTCCTGGTTGGCACCGACACGAGGCGGGTGATCCTGACGCCAGTGCCATCGTCTGGTCTTGGGTCTTGTTATACTCCGTACCTCTCTCTAGTCGTAATTTCATAACTGCGCGGTAGCTGGGTTTGCTAATATTTTCTTCCCATATTATTCTCATCATTCTCATCACTCCTTTTTTAGGTCCTAGGCCGGTTTTCTTCTCTCTTTTAGTAGCGGTTGACCTCTCCGAAACCGAGATTGAGGCCGTTGCCGCGGTGTTACTGTTTCTGAACGCCCAGTCACCTCCGTCACAGTCACCCCATCACGACCACCTGGTCGTCACTCTCATGGCAGCACAGCAGCAACGCTGGGGCCATTTCCCGGATTCGCAGGGTTCGCAGGGGTTGAGGGACGAGTACGATGACTACACGTACCCGACGCATGAGCACCGCCGCTCGCTTGATGCCCAGCCTCCACGCAGGTCCAAGTCGAATCGTGCTTCAGTCCAGACAGCAAACACCGATGCTCTTACAGAGTCCACCTTCAGCCCCCACTCGCCCACGGCCTCGAGCTTTGCGGGAGCGGCCCAAGGCCTAGCTCCCAGACCGCCTTCTTACCAGCGCCCAGTTTTTGTAGCTCATGCTGCCCCAGATGTGGGCGCGGGCATGGGTGCGGGCATGGGCAATGTTGGCGCCAATGTAAATGTTGGTGTTGCTGTTTCTAATATTCCACAAGAACCTATCTCGCACATGCCTGAAGAAACGTCTCGCGGACCCCATCGACGGTCCTCGGAGCAATTCCAGGATTCACTCTCTGAGTCAACTCGTCAGGCTCCTCAAGCTCTTCCCAATACGCTAAAGGTTCCTCGAGGTCCACCTGTAAGCTATCATCAACCGTATGAAACTTCAGAACCACCTTACACCAGGCTCAACTCCAACCCAAACAACGTCTCGCCGACTTCTTTTCAATCGCTATCTTTGCCACCCGGCCGGCTTGCCGTGGACGACGGCATGGAGCCCGGAGGATACTATACAACTCGTCGCGAAGACTATCCAGACTTTCCAAGAAGTCAGATACATGATGTCACTGGCGGCAAAGGCGTCGTTGCGCCACCCATGATGCCGCAAGATATTGCTGCTGGAGGAACCCGAAGGCCATCCGTCACTCTGCCATCAGAGCGCCGCAAGAAGTTTGCAAACGACCGTTCGCCCCTCCAACGGCTTGAGCTGACGCTCGATAGCATGACCAAGGAGGAAAAGAGGGCTAGAGTCCAGGCCGCCGAGCAGCGAGCTAGAGAACGTGCCGCAAAACGAGCTGCTGAAGCTTCCACAGCTCAGTCGGGTGAATCACAAGGTCGCCGAATACCCATTGAACCGCCAAGCTATCACCCAGAAGCCATTGTACCAACTGTTCCGGTAGACGAGCCTCAAATGAATCTCGCTGAAACTGGAAACCGAGGGCATCCATACCTGCAACACCAACCCGTACAACATCAACATCCAATTCCTAGTCGCTATCGTGCCGAAGCCGTAGATCATGGTCATGTCGCTGGTCCGCCACCGCCACTCCAAGTGCCGGAGCAACGAGAGGAGCATGGAGAGTCAAGGTCTGGGCTACCAAGACGAAACTTAAGTTTCAGAGAACGCGCAGCGAGGAATGAGAAAGAACACATTGTTAAGCAAGCAAGCCCGGTAGGCCAACCAACGGCCTTCTTCAGCGGTGGTCCTAGTGGTGGAACGAATATTGCACGGAATGGAAGCAACAAGTTACGTAAGGAACCTCCCACAGATCAATGGACCTCATCAAAGCCAAATATGGAGAGGAAAATGCCTGGTTCTGCTATCCCTGAGCCAATATCAGCTACTCGAGCCCATGGAGCCGCCGGTAGGCTCCCCCGTGCGATTAGAGACAAAGAACTGCCTCCCGTCCCGACAGCACAAGAACTTGCCCAAGGAATACAACGTCGAGCAACTGAACCTATTTATAGAAAGGAGCTCAGACCCGATGAAGAGTATATTCCTCCTCCAACTAGTAGTAACGCCAATACCAGTTCAATTCAAAGCCCAGGCACCGAGCAGCAAGACCTAGCCGTCGTCGGAAGACGCCCTGAACGCCAGGAAAGCATCCATTCCGTTGAGGATCTCCCTCAGCATCGAGTTTCAAACATGATATTTGAAGACCCGGAAAACTTGCGTCCCGGTGAAGGGTTGTATCAGCCGCCAGTTTGGCTGAATGAATTTCAGAATGCAACTGTTGGGTTTCTTGGTGGGACCCTATTGGACCTCACAGAAAATCATCAAGCAATCAGTGACAAGAATAAGGCTTGGTGGGAGACCACCGGGGGACGAAAAAATAGTACTTACTCATCCAGGCCACGGAAAGCTGAAGCTTTCGATGGCGAGTATGATGACACAAACGGTAGGAGCAACGTCTCAAAAAGTAGACCCCTACTCACAACGTATGTTAATCGTGCTTTAGCTCCAACACGGTTCAAGCCACCCTTGTATCTTAAATGCGGTCCACTCTTGAGATACTGTGGAATTCGTCAGGAGAAGGTACCCACGCGATCTCAAAATAGTGCCCTGTCAAATCGTGAGATATGGAGAGGGAGCGTCATGATTGTAACGCACGATTTAGAATCGTCCTACGATATTGCACCTATGCTTCGCCTCTTTGTACAGGACATTCAGCTTCTACCTCCTCCACCACTTCAAGTGAATGGGGATTTACCACCTGAATACGTCGATCCGATTGCAGGACATCCCAAGCTTGGTCGTCGAGGAGAAACTATCTATGTACGCCCGGTGGAGCATCTGGAAGAAGCCAGAGACCTGTCTCGTACTGAAACAGATGAAGGCCTGTACGAAAAGTCACGGAGTCCGCCAGATATCTCCCCTCCAAATGGTACAACCGAGCTGCCTCAATCCTTCGCCGGCCGCCAGAAGCGCATTCTGACTGACGGCGAGAAGCTGCAAAAGTACAAGGATGTGAGAGGATTTCGTCTTCATGCAGAGAGAGGCTGCACCTTCTGGAGGTTCAACATCGAAGTTGAATTGCGTGAGAAGCAACAACGCATCGCTTATCGTATCAACCGAGGTCCTTCTATGGCATTCTGGGTTCCTCCTCGAGGACAGGCTATGAATATCATGTTCCATAGCTGCAATGGATTCAGTGCCAGCGCCAACCCCGACGATCTGAGTGGCCCTGATCCCATGTGGCGTGATGTTCTGAACACACACCAGTCGCAGCCATTCCATGTAATGATTGGAGGTGGTGACCAAATTTACAATGACTCCGTTGCTCATGAATGTAGCCTGTTTGATGAATGGCTTGGTATCCGACATCCCCAGCACAAACATGCGGCTGCATTTACTGCCAGCATGCAGGATGAGATGGAAGAGTTCTATCTACAGCGCTATTGCATGTGGTTCTCTCAAGGGCTTTTCAGCTTGGCAGCATCGCAGATTCCCATGGTCAACATGTATGATGACCACGATATCTTCGACGGATATGGTTCTTATCCTCACCACGACATGAAGTCACCGGTATTTGCCGGGTTGGGAGCAGTTGCTTTCAAGTACTATATTCTCTTCCAACACCAAAGCGTTTTGACTGAGACAGAAAACACAGAGCCCAGCTGGATTCTTGGTCAAGAACCAGGACCATACATTAAGGAGCTGAGTCGTAGTGTTTATGTGTCCATGGGAGGCAAAGTTGCCTTGCTTGCGGTGGACTGTCGCACCGAGAGAACGGAGCACGATGTGATTAATAACCAGACATGGGAGACGATCATCAATAGAATGTATGCTGAGGTACGGCGTGGCCACGTCGAGCATTTACTAGTGTTGTTGGGTGTCCCAATCGCATATCCCAGGCTGGTCTGGCTAGAGAATATGTAAGTGGCTTCTTCCCCGGGGGGGGGGGGGGTTGTTTACCATTGCGCAATTCTGGCTGACGTTGCCCATAGTTTGACATCCCGGTTGATGGATCCCGTTAAGGCTCTCGGCCGAACTGGCATGTTTGGCAAAGCCCTCAATAATATCGATGGTGGTGTAGAAGTCTTGGACGACTTGAATGACCATTGGACTGCAAAGAACCACAAACACGAGAGAAGCATAATTATGGAGGATCTGCAGGATTTGGCGATTGACAAATCATTGCGAATCACGATCCTGAGGTAAGTTTTTTCGCAACAAACATAAGAAGAAAAATCATAATCTGACATTCACTCTAGCGGTGACGTGCACTTGGCTGCGATTGGTCAGTTCTATTCAAACCCTAAGCTTGGCCTGCCAAAGCACAAGGACCCAAGATACATGATCAACGTTGTATCTTCAGCTATCGCAAATACCCCGCCGTCGGATATACTGGCAGATGTACTCAACAAGCGAAACAAGGTGCATCATTTCGACAAGCAAACTGATGAGAGCATGGTCCCTCTATTCCATCATGGGGTGGACGGAAAACCCCGAAATAATAAACACCTCCTGCCACACAGAAACTGGTGTTCTATTCGTTCCTGGTCACCTGGCAGAACGCCGCCCCCAACACCACCTTTGTCGACTTATGATAGGAGTCCGAGCCCACCGTCGGTGGTGAATAGCAATGGCGGCGGGGCCGGAGGCTTGTTTCGACGACTCTCTCTTGGGGGTGGAACACGGTCAACATCAAATCGCTTCGACGGATCACGTACTTCGGTTCGAGGCGATAGACCTCCAGTGTCAGGAGGCGTGGGTGGCTTATTCCGCAGTTTGTCGCGGAGAAACTCGTCTGATGGTCCTCGGCCGGCGAAGCTGACCCGTACAATGTCACTCGGAAGTGGTGAGGGCAAGAAGAAGGGGTTCTTCGGCCTCGGTCGACGTGGAAACAAGAGCAGGCCTGATGATGGAGGTATCAATGGACAATGGGGTGTCGAGAGCGACGATGAGGACGGCTACTTCGTTGACAATCACCCTTCACATGCTGTCCGACCATCAGGGCTACGCGGTGGCGGTACATATGAACACTCTGAATTCTCAGATGATGATGAGATGCATTTTACGGCTAGACCACCACCACATACCCAGACTACTGGGAACCAATCGGCAGGGCCTACTAGGGGCGATGATGAGCCAGACTCTATGGTGCGCCCATTCCATCGCACGCCAACGGGATTATCAGTGAAACAGTTGCGCAAAGCTGAGAGGTTTACGGTTGATCTTGAAGGCGGTCTGGACATATGCCTCAATGTGGAGGTCAATTCCAAGGACCCAACAGGTATTACTGTTCCATATAGACTGCTGGTACCTCGATTGCAGTATGAGTACAATCCAGCAGATGATGAGCTACAACAACCTGCCAAGGAGTCACAACAGCCGACAGGCTTCAAGAGGTTTTTGAGCTTCCGCAAGAAGCCCGAGAAGCCCAAGCTACAACAAGAACACAGGCATGATGGCGAGGAGAGCGAAGATGAGAATGAGGATTATATGAGCGATGAAAGCTCAGATGTCCCACCACGGCGATGAGCGCCGATGGGCAAGTGAAGAGAGGACGAGCAGGGCGACACCCAGAAAGGAAAGCGAGTTTGTAAAGGCGCGCTTACTGTACAGCCTATGATGTGCATCATGTGTTTACGAAGTTTGACGACATAAATGATGTTGGAACAGCGCAGCACGTATTTTCTCAGCATTGGGCGGCATACGATGCAATATTTGCATACGAAGGCGTTTTCGTTTTAGAACTGTTGAGGGAGTCAAGGGACAGAATTTGGATCAATAGCATAAGAAAAAGTCGTATTGTGTGATTGAACTGTTGATCGTGCTGTGGCCGGGCGAATGCGAATGATGTCTGGTGCGGTAACGGCCCAGGTGGTTATTCTCGCTATTGCCTGGCAACCCCACATCAAGTTTACATGTCGAGTACATACTGTTCAGCGCTGCTAATAATACGAATTAGATGGAGCAAGATTGGGGAAAACTAGGAGCAAAGGCGGGACCTGAGTGAGACCCTTAGACCTGAGACGTCAACCGTAGGACTGGCGCTTCCTGCCAACTTTCCTTCTTCCCAGCATCCGACAAGGCATGTAGCAAGACCACCAACTCACTCCTTCCCGTTTCTTTCCCTTTGTTCCTTTCTCACTTTTTTCCTCACAACCGGGTAATATTTGACGGCATTCTTGGTGAAGGCTCTTATTTCCGTTCCCCGTCCGCCACCGTTCAGTTCTCTTTTGTGACTTGCATACTCCGTACGACTACTCTTCTTTCTTCCTGTGCATCAGATCGCGAAAGGGGGGTGGCTAGCCAGCTCGGTCCAACGCCAACGCCAACACCACAAACAACCAACCACCAGAGACGAACCCACCGAGCGGCTCACGCCAAGTTTCGTCCTGGTAGCCACCTGCTTACCCTCCCATCAACTCAGCTCCGGCCAACACCTACCAGTCGCTCGTGCGATCGTGTGCTTTGCCATCCACAACCTGCTCTTCTCAACGCCTTGACGGACGCTATCCAGCTTGTTCGGCGAAGCGGTAATGGCGTCAGCATGTTCAGTCGCCTAGTCATGCCCAAACCCGTGAAGGACGGGCGTCCGCGCACCACATCCCAAGCCGTCCTTGCCTGGATATGCGGTCCAGGTAGGCGCATGGCTACGACGGCTACACTGCGCGTCGCGCATCAGATTAGGAGGAATTTAACCCTGAGGCGGCTATTGAGCTTTCCGCATTTTTTGTTCTTGTTTTGGGTCGTGATTTTGCTATGGGGTGAAAGATGGGTGTTCGACTCCAAGGTTGCGAAGTGCGATTGGGAGAATTGGGAGAATTGGGTACGTTGACAAGTTGCTGTGTTATCGAAATGCCATCTATTGTTTTGTTGGTGGATGAAGCTGATGGACCTTGCTACAGCCCAAAGAGGCAAACCCCCATCACCTCATCTTCGTCGCCGATCCCCAACTTATCGATCCGCACTCGTATCCCGGTCGACCCTGGCCTCTGTCGCCGCTCACTGTGCTGGTGACGGATAACTATATGCGACGCGGATATACCGCATTGCAACGCCAATTAAAGCCTGACAGTGTCTTCTTCCTGGGTGATTTGTTCGACGGTGGCCGAGAGTGGAAGACGCGGCAGGGCGCCAAATTTGTCGATCCAAAATGGGGTGGCGAGCGGTCCGCAACTGAGAAGAAGTGGGTGAAGACATGGCATCGCAAATATGATGATGACTATTGGATTCGAGAGTATCAGAGATTCAGCAACATATTCTTTGCCCCATTTAATGAGGCCGGCGGTGTTCCTGGGCCATATCAGAGGGGTAGGAAGCTGGTTGCCAGTTTACCTGGAAATCACGACCTTGGCTTCGGTGCTCAGATTCAGGTGCCTGTTCGTGACAGGTTTAGTGCTTTTTTCGGTGAAACGAACCGTGTTGACGTTGTGGGAAATCATACCATTGTGTCGGTAGATACGGTTTCGCTGAGTGCAGATACCTCCCGGTACAAGGATGAGCATGATTTAAAGCCCATATATGGACCAGTCCATGAATTCTTAGACCAGGTCCAGGCGACCAAGCGAAAGGCTGCTCAACAGGAATTAGCAGTCTGGCATGGAGTGGACCGGGGGCTGAAGTTACGACATAAGGTTGAGGACGTCAACGAGGCGGACTTATCACGGTCACCAATGGACCCAGGAGAGGGGGCGCCTGACTTTCCTACGATTTTGCTTACCCACGTCCCTCTATACCGAGAACCCGGCACGCCTTGCGGTCCTCACCGCGAACACTGGCCACCGAGCAAGTCGACCCTGAGAAAGGATGGAACTGTCGATCCCACCGCTCGTGATGATCGCAATGCTATCAGCGTCAGTGCAGGCTACCAGTATCAGAACGTTTTGAACGACGAAGATTCGGTTAAGCTGATTAAGAAGATTGGCAACGTTGTACACGCATTTTCAGGTGATGACCATGACTACTGCGAGCTCGTGCATTCCTCTGCCCAGGAAAACGTTCCTGAGATTACCGTCAAGAGTATCAGCATGGCCATGGGAGTGCCAACCCCAGGATTCGTCATGGTCAGTCTGTTCAACCCAATTGACGCCCATGGCAAACCTATTCCAAACTCGCCTGAGAAAACAATTCAAACCCATCTCTGCTTACTTCCGAATCAATACCACACGTACATGAAGTACATTACTTTTATTATCGTGTCCGTCGTCCTACTATTAATCCGAGCATATCTTGTTCCCGCCCTCCACCTCACACCCTTTGCCCTCGAACCCGAGACTCACGCGGCTCCTATGCTACCTATATACAAGGACAAGGTGAAGATGGAACCACCCGAATACGGCGCTCTCCGATCACCAGCGGCAGCCACATCCGGCGCTAGGAGCCAGGCAAACGGCGGAAATGCGAGATGGGCTTCCAAGAAGAGTAAAAATGGCCAACGATGGGGATGGAGCAATGGGAATGGCGGCCCGCGTATTACCCTCGATGACCACTTCTACGACGGTGGCAAAGCTAACAGGGGAAGGAGGGAATTGCGCTTACTAGGGAGGGAGTTGTGGACGACTACGTGGCGCTTGGCCTGGTTGACGGTATTATATTGGGCATATCTGGCACGGAAGGGCTGAAAACCACTGGCTGTCATGGCGACGCCGTGTATATATATATATATACATGTAATTGTATTACTAGTTGGATGGTTTGTTCACGGAGCCATAGCATAGATGCGGATTAATAGCGTATGTTTTATTGTTATCCGTTGCATAAAGTCAGCCCCGACGCCTGAGAACTCCATGCCCGCGTGCCGTCACCGTTCCTTCGCCTTGACCTTTTGTTTTCCTTTTCCAATTTCCAATACCAGTCCGCAACGCCGTTCGCGCCATGATGACATGCCCACCGCTCTGGAGCGCAGCGCTTCCTCCGCGTCACCTCCGCCGCGTGATGCCCAGCCGCTCCTCGCGCGCTCTCCTCCCCGCGGCGTCGGGGCTCTCTTGCACGCCCTCCATTTGAGCCTGTGCCTGTGCCTGCGCCTGCGCCTGCGTGTAGGCTTGTGCTTCGGCGCGTGCCTGTTGCGCCGCGGCGAGGGCCTCGTTTGCGCGTCGGTCCTCGTAGGCGGCTACGTCCTCGGCGGTGATTTGGAGCGTTGTCGGAGGTCGGCGGAGCATGGTGGCCGCGAGGGTGGATTTCTTTCTCGAGGTGGTAGGGGCTTGGGTAATTTCCGTTTGGGTTGATGGAGATTTGACGTTGCTGTATCAGAATAATGTGTTGGGAAATTTGAAGCTTGGGGATGGATGGTGAAGAGTCGGGGTTGTTGTCATGGTTCCTCTCTACGGACAGGCGAGGTGAGGTGGTTGTTGCGTGGAGGCGCCGTGGCGTCTCGGGTCATGCCGAGTGGATCTTCACAAACTGAGAGCTACAACTTCATTTGGTGCTTAAATAGTTACTTGTTCAATCCATGCTTCTGCTTCTCTATCGTTGGTATCATAAATAACATCATGCCTACGGTTGCATCTGTCATAATCATTACAAAATTACTCTCCTCCTGCCGCCATCCATCTCAAAAGCGCTGCAATGTCTTGCTTCATGCTTGCACTCAGGTCCGCCGACTCGGCTACCTGCTCAGACACGCAGTCTCTCTCGCCGTCCCCTACCACCAATGGGGCTGACTTCAGCCTGAATGACTGACCCTGGGGATATCGCAAAGTATAGTGTTTGGCCGAGTCCTCCTCTGGCGTCCACTTTCTTGGAGGTGCATGACTTCGGAAGAAGCGAATGGGCTCTGCAAATGTGTAGCCGTCTTCGGAACTAACTGGGATGGGAGCCTCTGCGTCCCCGCTGACCGTAGATGGGGATGTAGATGTGATGCTGTGTGACGAGAGACTCCATGGTGAAGCCGCCCCATCCGGAATGAGTTCGCCGTGGGTTTCAAAGCCAAATGTTGAGAACCAAGCTGTCATGTCATCAGCCAGGTCATTCTCATCATCGTCATACGTGGCCGTTCGCGAGTCGCCGCTTGTAAGGCCCTGGATAGCTATTTGGTAGGCACCACTGTCGATGGAATCATCCATCTCCTCATCCGAGTTGACATATGAATCTGCGATTTGGCAGGCAATTCGACCGTGCTTGAAGGAAGAGTTAACAGTAGACAGCTGCGTGCCGGGAAGATAGACCAAGTCACCACTATCTTGAGATCGGACGCTGTGATCAACACTCGGCCGGCCGGCCGGCTCCTCAAGCTCGTCGTCGGATTCGACTTCTGGTATAGTCGGAAGTGGTGCCTTGGTATTCGTGAAAACGAATCTCTGGGGGTTCTTAGGAGGCGGGTTTAGGGGGTAAACGTTACTTGTGACTACGATGGTGTCGCGTTCGCTCCGCGCTCGTGGTAGGGCAGACTTTTGCATTGACATGCTGGGTAAGGAAAAGTCTGCATGGATAACAGCTTCGTCAAGCGGCAATACTGACGGCTTCTCTGCGTTGCTGTTGTTCTTGTTGCTCTTGGCGGAACTTGTCGTGGTCTGCCGCGACCAAGCACTATCAGACGAATCGCTTGAGTCTCGCCCCTCAAACGACGACGGCTGCTGGTCTTTATGTGTACGTCTGGCTCGCACCTCTTCGAGCTTCTCTGGAGTCAGCATCTCATCGGCTTGTACGCGCTTAAAGCGTGTGCCAGAGAAGAGCTGAGCAACGCCATTTGATACCGCCCATCTAGCGGGTTTGGTTGGCTGCGAAGTACGGGGCTGGGAGACTTTTTTTGATTCCTTCTTCAGCAAATTCATAGTTTGTGTCTCGGGGCACAGAGGAAGGGGCTTGTCTATAGGTGATTTAGTTCTCTTGGAGAGAGTAGGTCGATTGCTTGTTTTGTCTTCTTGGCGATGTTGAGTAGTGGTATGAGGAGCAGCAAAATCAGCCGGCGTTTCCGGCCCCCCCGTCGTTTCTGACGTCTCTGGCAAGTCGTGTAACCATGACGTCAAACTCGTATCGTCCATATTCTCGTGAACTGCTTCAAAGGCGTCTGCTGTCTCCTTGATCATGAGCTGTACTGACTGTGTCCAGGCGTCATGATGGCCTAGCGAGGGAGTCACAACCAGACGTTCCAAGCAGCCGTCTTGCATCATAGTGACAGCAGAGTCAGAGAATGGGGAAAATGACCGTTCAGAGGGTTTTCGACTTTTGTCCATGCATTGTTCATATTGTCCGGCAATATGCTGTGAATTCCGCCTTGTTGGCCCTCGATTCTGTTCTGCTCTCGGCAACTCAGACCAACGTGTTCTGGTGACAGAACCCTCATCCGCAGAACGCTTACCAACTGCATCTTCCTTAGATCCCTCATAAGCATGAACTGATCTCGCTGGCGAGATTTTAGAAACTCCGAGCTTGGCGGAAGGGAGTGGAGACAAGGCTCGGTCGCTATCATCGTCGCTCCGGATGAAGACGGGGGAGATGGGTCGCTGACGCCTCACGCTTGGCAGCCACAAAAGTGATCGTGATGAATTCTTCGAGTCCATTCGAAGTGAGCGACACTCATCAAGTGACTGAGCTCTTCTGTGATTAAGTCGAGAAGGAGATGAACCAAGTTGTTGGTTCGCTGGCGCACGTCCCATTGTGCCAACCGTCGGACTCTCCATCTTGCTGAGACGGGCCTGCTGCTTGTGTAGCCCGAGGAAACCAACAGAACAGCAGTAGAACAGGCAGGATATTGGGACCGCTATTTAAAAGGGAAGTGAATGCACAAACAACCCAAGTGCCAGCGCATAAACGCTTGCCAACCGTTTGACTGAAAAGGTATTGACAAAGGGCCATATGACATAGTGAGACGGTTAGAGTATCAAAAGGAACAAAACGACCATGGCATAGCAGAACAGAGAGACATGCGAGGCGCACAACTCTTTTGATACTCGTTTGGACGGCCCCCTGGGATGGACAAAACACAAAGAATTATTTCACCGCCGTGTACAGCGAGTGGGCAATGCTTTCAGTAAGGGAGCAGTTGAAAGGTTGCAATGAAGGAGCGCCAGCCTGGTTCAAGTATCTCGACCCTGGCTTATAAGTGAACGTCAACCTGATGGGGGCCACCAGCCTTCTCACGTTGTGGCCGCAGCGATTTCAGGTTGGTGGTGTTACGCAAAACATGGGTTCCGAGCCCACACCTGGCCGGAAACAGGCGGGTGTCAGTTATTCTGTCGAAAAATGAATTGTTTCCCTTGTTGCATGTCGTACTGGGCGAGACTGGTTCCATTGTGGCTGCGGCCCAGCCCAGGTAGAAGCCCATGCGGCGTGACCCATGCTTGCGAGTTCTGTTCAGCCAGGCCACCAGCATCTGGAGTGCTTGCACCAGGGATCGATCGGCATGGGGGGCGCAGCCAACTCCAGCTTTAGGGGACCAGAGCCAATTCGGCATGACCCTGGCTCGAAATAGTTCACTGGATGCTGTGGGTGCTGGCTGATGCGTTTTCTCAACGCCCAGACTTCCCGACTTTGTTTGTGAAGTGGCTCCAGCGTTGGCCATTTCCCTTGTATCCTTTTGGATCAACGATTCATCATGTGCCAGAAGTGAAGGCCTGCCATTCCGTCCATCCCACGATACTCTTCGGCCCTGGCTACTCGTCGGCGGGTATCCGAGATCCTTCCAAGTGCCGTTTTGGTATTGGACGAAAACCACTGGCGAGTCAAATCGCTAGTTCTCGAGTTAGTAGTCAGAAAATCACGCATTACGAGAGGTTTATGGTATGGCATGGTGGTGGTACAATGTGATGGTGTGCGTAAAGACACGGGAAGAGGCATTACACAGCCAGGAAGCGAGGTGTTCTGCGGCATCATTGGTTAATGGGATGGTGCGAGTGCAGTGGGCAACACAAGCCCAGATATACATTGGTGATAGATGAAAGGATGCCAGCATCTAGATGCTTATATACCGACTGGGATAATGCCCTTCAGTTGGCCCAATAGACAAGAGGAACACGCCAACAAAGCCAATGACGAGATTCTCGATCATAGCGGCCAAGTCACCCGACACAGCTCCAAGCCAAGATGATGACCTCGTGGTTCATGGGTGTAAATAGCTGTAGCAGCAAACCTCTCTCCCCGCTTCAGAATGGCAGCCTTGCCCTGACTTTGGTAGCTCGCAGCAGCGTGTGTCGGCCGCACACCTAGAGCCTGGGAAGCCCTTGGCCTTGCCCGATAGGGACGCCAAAGCACGAGGCATGTTTCAGTGCACAAGCCGCTTCATGATCCCTTCCTCTTGTGCGGCAAATGACGAGTTGGTATAATCCTCTCCTGGTACTGGCACTCGCGCGTTTCTAAATGTAGAGCGGTAATAGCAGATAGTACTCATGAAGCACTGCAAGAGCAAGCGCAACATCTCGGCACCTCGCTAGAATAGGGTGGCATACTGCTCGTATTAACGTTCACAGCTGAGGTTGATATAACTTATGTCGTGATCCGCTGTGTGTCTTTGTTTTTTGGCACTGAACACGATTCGTCTGTGCGTGTTATGCCTTTCCAATGCGCCATACCTGTCTGTTTCGCACATGACGCCTCTTTCGTTGTGGTCCTATGCGCCTCTGGTTGTCCTCCGTGTACTATCGGATAATCTCTCCAAATCAGCCTAAAATGGCAAACATGACGATAGGCTGGCAGTACCAGGGTCAAGGACTTGGGGTCTTCAAAAGCCCGCCACAACATGTCGACAATCCCGGCATTGTGACAATGGAAAAGAGATCAAGATGTGATCAGCAGTTGGGATGTTGAGGAAAGCTGGTGGCCTTGCAGAGATGAAGATGTCTGTTAGGCCAGAGTGTTGGCAATTGTGGGGCGAGAAACAGTGAGGAAGAATGAACGGGAAAGGCCGCAGTCAACTGCTGCACGCTTGAGCAGGCGCTACAGTCCTGATAAACATGCTAGGACCAGAATGAGCTAGCTTCAATGTTTATCCCTACCTCTCGCAAAAGACTTCGTCGGCCGCGTGTTCATTACAATACTCTTTTTGAAGAGACCGGATCTTATCAGAGATATACAGAGTATACATGTAGTGTCAACTATGACCTCGATTGCAGGAGCTCGGGCTTAAACCACCTCACATGCAGCAGAGAACCCGCCTACGTGCGTCGCTGTGCGCACATACGGAGTGCATAAGCCTCATATTATCATCCCCATCACTCCACCGATTCTGTTCGAAGAAGATAACCATCTTGCAGTTCTCCGTGCACGTTTGATCTCTGCCAGTCTCAACTTCGGTCGGCCGGTATCGACATACTTGGTCAATTGTGGCTAGCAGGTTATTTGGGCAAATACGGAGTACTCTGTAGCCTGATAACAGCTGAAGAACGAACTCCGACGACAATCGTATTTCTTGTTTTTACGACATCTTTCAGCAACCACCAGTCGAATATCAGACATTAATGACGCGGCAGATCCAGCCGTCGATCAGTCCAGATAAACCCATGGTCAAAGCTTTCTTCGTCATTCCTACATAAACGATGACCATAGTCGTCGCTCATTGCCCTAACTGGCAACTCGTCGCAATTTCCCGTTAGCAATCCAATCTACGGATACTGTGCAAACATGGTCTCTCTGGATTCCCTTTTCTTAGTCTATCTAGCTCAAACAATCACTACCCCGTATGCACAATCGGGCACAGACCGCATGGCAATCACAAACCCCAGAGCTGCAACGGGATGGGCCCCCAGGAATGCCGGCTTGGTCCTTGACGCGCCCAACATCGCCGGCATTGCCATGCAGTCACATCAGAGAAGGCGAGGCTACTAGCTAGCGCTAGCCGAGCTTGATAGCCGTGTCCTTTATGCCTGATCACTCGGTTCCGGGAGTGTCAACTTGAAAAAAGTTATATTGCGGTTGCTTTTATTGAGCGCCGATTATGCCAAAACAAGTTGTTTTCCCTACAATACTTTGTACAGGCTCCGAAAACGCCTCAAGTCTCCATGTGATCCATCCCCATCGGCGCCAATCAGAACATATCGGGCCGTAACACAGCATCATCCTTCCCCAGATGCGACCCGAAACCCGGGTCCAGAGCAATGGACTACCGACTGGTATGCGATGCCAAGAACTGTAACACAACAAAATGAGAAGAGCAACTCCCCCCACGAACGCCTCACGGACCTAACCCAAATGGCCCGTGTATCGCAATCCCTTGGCAGTAAAAATAGTACGCCACGTTTCCGTTTGTATCCTCGAATAGAAATGGCTCGAGGGAGCCAAAAGAGAACACGTAATAAAGTTTCAGGGCTGCCGTTTGTTGGCATGTGTGTTTGTCGTTGCTAAACGGATGCGTGGCCTTCTGCACCAGTGCTCCGTTCCCATTATAGAACATGATTGGCTTCTCTCATCCTTCGCGGCGTCCCAGTCCGTAGAAACGACGACGCAGCGTGCCTAGGAAATGGAATAATTTTACCGTCGAGTAGTGTTTCGCAATCATCCTCGGTCTCGTCGTCCGTGGGCCTCGTGCAGCTGCAGCATGCTGCGAAAAACTGGCCCATGGACGCGACTATTAGGCCGGGAAATGCGGCAACAGCGCTTAGACATTTGCCCCGGCTGCTGGCCTTCTCGTCCTCATCGTGGAGTCTGATTCCCTTGGAGGAGGGCATGGTTGTCTTTGACGCGGCGTCGGTGGGAAGCATGTTTGTCCGTAGAGATCTTTCGATTGCAAAGCGTGTGCCAGCGAATGAATCGACACTAGTCCGTATGTTTTTTTTTCTTTTTCTGCTGCGGTGCTTCTTAATACAGTATATTATTATAAGGCCTAGGTAGGGAAGAACCAAGGCAGCAAGGGCGGCTTTTAATAAATGGATTTCGCGGGATTGCGTCGTCTCCCTCGCGCCTCCCTTGGCCTTGCCTGCGCGACGTATTACGCCTCCATTCCTGAGCCATGCCGCACAACGGCATGTAAGTCAAGTAATGTACTAGTATGTCGGGCAGTCTCACAATTTCATTTCGTGGCGTCAATGACATGAGTCAATCATCCATCTGGGAGTATGCTCGCCTGCGAGCGAGGAGTTGGCTAGCTTTGCATTTTTGCATAATAGCCAATCTCCTTTACCTGACACCACGCCCTGCCTTGCAAGTCTATGTACAAATGGATACTTGGCCCACTGCACATGTCGTGTTGGTAAATATGTACATTGCTCTATGCATTCTTATAGTCGTCTAGCCACGGTTACATATTCGCTGCTTTGCAGTAGGTACGAGGGATGTAAACTGTATACATACGTATTCTGTTGTACATTCTGTCAACACCTACGGAGCGCGAAGCACACATTCACAAGCTTGCGCTACAAATGGAGTGGTTGACCAGAAATGGCTGCTTCTTATTGGGAGAGTCTATGGCGACTGCAGGCCTGACTGGTTACGCGGCCCATTATAGGCCAGGCGACTCATGAGCAGGGACGTACCGGGACAGACCATGCTGGTGATCTCGGCTACCTAATGCACGGAGGGCAAGATCAGGATTTGCACAAGGATTTGCCAACGCACGGAGTTGGCTGATAAACTATGGCTGGTTCTTTCCCTTGCGGTATTCGGGAAAAAAGACGTCCTGAGAAAAAGCGTCAATATTGACCTCGATTGCAAAATGATAGGTCATAGCACATAATAATGCACGCAAGGGACTAACACGCCATGTAAAGCACACTTTGAGTCGATACACTAACAACGACCAAATTCAGAGTCATGATTGACATACGTACAGATCAAGTTCTAGGTATGTATATCACGACTCGAGCTCTACCCATTTTCTCTCCCTTGACAATCAAAGGTCGAGCTCGCGGGAAATAGTCATGCACCCTAGCCATCCAAGCGCCTCTAATCTTCTTCAAACCCGATACCTGTATCAGTCTCACCCTCGTCGTCGTCGTATGTGATAAAGGGAACAAACCGAAAATCCAGAAAACTTCGCTTACCACCCTCCATCTCTACCATGAACTGAAGACTCAAGACACCCTGTGCGTCACCCCGGAGACTGACCTTGTTCGCGATACGCATGGCCTCTGTTGAATTTTTGATGAAGTCGAACTTGTACGTCTGAGCCCAGCGGTCGGCAATGGTGAAAGTCTCCAGCAAGTCTCTGCCCCTAGCAAAATCTACTGCAGAACTTCCCAGGTCACCAGTGCCAGCGAGTGACAAAAAGGGCGACGTCTTTGAGGCGATAATGGCCAGCTTGTCAGGAGCTGTGGGAGATATCTCCGCCAAGGAATCCAATAGGGAACGCGACGACATGATTATTTTGAACGACATCTCCTCTCGATTGAATGGAATATCGTCTGGCAATTCCGGCACATATGTCGTCAATCCTGCCGTGGTCTTGACCCCAGCTTCTTCAATGGTGATTTTGAAAGCATCTCCTGCTTCGCCGTAAAGTAATGTACAGGTGCCAGATATCCCAAGAGCTTGGTTGCTGAATGCATCTGGTCTGTAATTTCTCAAGTTACTCCGATAAGGGTCTTGCTCTGCCTTCTGCGCCCGAGTCGCAACATCCACAGCTCCAAATATTTGGAGTACTTCAAGAAATGATGCCAAGGAGATTTGGAAATTTGGTAGATCGACTGCTTCGTCATCGTCAGAGAGTGGCAGGTTGAGGCTATATGCTGAAAACAGCGCCTTGTCAAGAAAAGCAACTCCTGAAACAATAGTTAGCCGTGTGACGGTTGCGGGACCATGAAGTTGTGAGGAAATAAGTTACCTTGCATTACCCTCGAATGGTCTGCAGCAAATCGAATACCTTCCTCAGTTATCTGGACATGGACTCTTGGAGCAAAGTTAATACACCGAAGCAGCTGATATAGCGGCCGTGTAGACGTAGCTACAGCCCGAAAGATTGGGGTCTTGTCAGGCGCCATGATTCTTGATGTGCAAATGTGCTGATCGTTGGGAGCGATGGATATCAATCGTGCGAAACTTTTCTCTTTCTAAAATCAAAAAAAAAAAAAAACCAAACCAGATAGCAATGGTTCAGCAGGTCTCCTGCGTCTTCTCTGCCTTTCCTCTTTCAACTAATGTACAATAGAGACCAGCTGGCTCGTCAACCAACCAGTCAGTGTAGTTATTTGGGTATCTTCTCAAAGGTAGACTCCAACTGCACAGAACATGTATACAACTCCGAAGCTGTCAAGTAATGTGAGCGTTGGAAAGAACGGCTGTCACCGTAGAATCCATACGTACGCGAGAGCCAAAGAAGCTGGGATGCCAAGTGTCGCGAGGTTAACAAGAGACCGGTCTGCAAGTTCATTAGCATCATAGAACGACCGGCAGGACCGGCAAATGATAGACAAACTCAATGTAAATACGCCAGTAATTGCCAATCCCAACAGCATCAAGATGAATGCAACGAGGAACTGGCTGTTTTTGCCAACGGTGGGGAGGAATGGACTGCCAGCAGCAGCTTGCCAAACTTCATGCAGCGAGGAATCCATGTGCCAAGTGCTTCAAGTCGGAGCGGTATATCGTAAGGGAGATTGAATGGGTCGAATAGGTGCTGTCCACGCGTTGTGCTAGCACAATGGTTGTCGATGCGATTTGGACGAGAACTGCAGTGCTATGAATTGATTTATGGGTGCGACAAGCTGTCCTGACATCGACATCGTGGCCAGAGGCAAAACAGGTTTAGCGCCAACCCCTTGGAGCTTTAAGCTGCCAACGTAAGCCGTGCACGGACCATGAACGAATACTCACTTGCAGTGTTCAGCGCGCCGGTCCCCACATTGATTTAACATTCGCATCACATCTCTACGTCAGTACCACCGACGGTGGAATATCAGCGTCATAACCACAGTCATCTTCCATCATGGGAGACGTTATCAAGGAAGAAAATGGTGAGCTTAATTTCTGCCTGTGTTTTCATTTCTCCAAACTCACAACACCCAAGGCACAAAGCGCAAGGCTTCGGAGGACCCCACCTCGCCCGCTGCATTGAAGCGTATTAAGCATGACGAATCTGTCGACGCAGCCGAGGAAAAGAAGCCCGTGGCCATGAAACCAATTCCATTCCCTGAAAAGGTAAATTTTGAGCGTTTGTTCCATTTTTTTCGGTCAGTCCGAATCAGCTAACCGCGGCCGTCTCAGCCTGCCGTTATCGAAGAGCGCAACGGCGAGATTGAATTTCGAGTTGTGAATAACGACAACGAGCGCGAGTCCCTGATCATTCTTACCGGGCTAAAATGCATATTCCAAAAACAACTTCCCAAGATGCCAAAAGACTATATTGCGCGTCTAGTATACGACCGTACGCATTTATCGATTGCCATAGTCAAGAAACCATTGGAGGTCGTTGGCGGAATCACGTATCGACCATTTAAGGGTAGACAGTTTGCGGAGATTGTGTTTTGCGCTATCAGCTCTGACCAGCAAGTCAAGGGGTATGGTGCACATCTTATGTCCCATCTAAAGGATTATGTCAAAGCAACCAGCGACGTCATGCACTTCCTAACGTATGCTGATAATTACGCTATTGGGTACTTCAAGAAACAAGGCTTCACTAAGGAAATCACTCTTGATAAAAGTGTTTGGATGGGATACATCAAAGATTATGAAGGGGGCACTATTATGCAGTGCTCCATGCTACCCCGGATCCGATACCTCGAAATGGGCCGTATGTTGCTCAAACAAAAGGAATGCGTGCAGGCCAAAATACGCGCATACTCGAAATCACACACTGTCCACGCACCACCAAAGGAGTGGAAGAACGGTGTCAGAGAAATCGACCCTCTAGATATCCCTGCCATTCGCGCATCTGGCTGGTCCCCCGACATGGACGAACTGGCTCGCCAACCCCGACACGGCCCCAACTACAACCAACTCCTGCACCTACTCAACGACCTCCAAAATCACCAGTCTGCGTGGCCGTTCCTCGTCCCCGTTAACCGCGACGACGTGGCCGACTACTACGAGGTCATCAAAGAGCCCATGGATCTCAGCACCATGGAAAACAAGCTCGAGGCGGACCAGTACGCCACCCCAGAAGACTTCACCAGAGACGCCAAGCTCATATTTGACAACTGCCGCAAATACAATAACGAAAACACGCCATATGCAAAGTCAGCTAATAAACTGGAGAAATTCATGTGGCAGCAAATCAAGGCCATCCCGGAGTGGTCGCACCTCGAGCCGGAGAAATAGAATTCTTTCCACGCTCCAATGCGCAAGATCCGCTTCGTATCGTCATCACGAGGGGGGGATGCCCGTACAAAAGAGTCTGCTAATTCGGCAGGGTAAAGGCTTGGTGTGGAATTATGATTTATAGGATTAGCGTGGCGTTTGGTAGGTCTGGCTTTTGTGTATAACAATCATGGTTCTCCAGTACGTCGGATGGGTATTAGCTTTGACGTACTTGGTAATATATCATAGACCGTCACCTGACAACGTCATGTGCCAGCCACACGGCAGCACCGCATAGTATCCGATAAGGGAACGGAAAAGGGTAATCAGCTGTAACTGCTTGCGATTACCCAACCCTCACCGTGCCCATGAAGCATCCGTGTCGTATTGCCCCAGCCAGCTACAGCAACATCCTTGACTTGTCTTGCAGAAAATGCAGCCAAGGCAAGGCACAATCAGTAGACTTTTATCCCGACTTCAACGTAAAAGGGTAACAACTTGGGCAGCAAGCTTGGTACCCAGCACCCTCTATGTAGCCTCCGCCAGCCAATTTCACCATATTACACCATTGAAGGCATTCACCAAACCAAGCTACCGTAAAACCAGACTAAAAACGATCAACGCATGACGCATACCAAAACTTCAACAAGCACGCACGAAAATAATAATGAAAAAAAAATCATTCTTATATTCTGATCAACGTATGATACATGAAACGTTCCAACGCCAGAGCAATCTTTTATCGCATTATCAACAGAGGAAAGAAAAATAGCCCATCGGACGGCAGTCCCATCTATTAAACCCGGTATCATCAAGATACGGCGAAAAGCACCCAACAAGAAAGAAAATGTGACCATCTGGACAGAGGTGCTTCGTCTCTGAACGTTGACTGCTAGTTTTGACTAGTAGTTGCAAAGCGAAAAAGAAGCGAAAAAAATCGTGAAATTCATGAGTATGCATATCCCGTCTCTACCCATTTTATCAAAACGTAGGTCCATTTCTTTCTTTCTTTCTCTTTTTTTTTTCCAATTTTTGGGGGAGGGGTTCGTGTTGTACTGTATTCTTCGCCTTATATCTAGAATGCATCCTGTGCATTGGGAAGACGAATTGTCGGGCGAGTCGCCCGGGGGAGAGAGGAGTGAGGCGCCGCAGCTGCAGCAGTGACCCGAGATCTTCGAGATTCGGCACGGAGGCTAGGGTTTTCGGCTTCAAGGGTCCGGAGGAGCATGGGGTGCAGCACTTCGGGGATTTCAGACCACTGGCCGGCTCGAGCAGCGGTGAGCATGCGCGGGGGGATGAGAGCTGCTGGAATGACGGATGTGCTTGGTGCTCTGCGAATCATCTGCTCTGTCATTTGCTCGGTGAGAAGGGCCAGCTCTCCCGAGTCAATGGCATTCTTGAGCCATTGCTCCCACTCCTCGTCCAGGACGATGGATGTGTCTCCGGCCTCGCGGCGGGTTGCACGGTCACGAAGCCGCTCGTTCAGATACACGCCGACACTCTCAAACTCGCCATCGCTTTCATCTTCCTGGTTGGCGTCGTCGTCCTCATCGCCCAGCACGCCGAGGGACGGAATCGACGTGGTGGATTGTATCTGCTCGGGTTCAGCCTGGGTGATGCTCGAGGTCTCGGGCAGCTGGACCTCTGAGGGCGGTACCCAGTCGGATACCTCGTCTGCGGTCGTGTCTCTAATGGTGATTCCCTGCTCCTTCTCGAACTTCTCCTTTGCCCATTTGGTGCCCTCCCACTTGGTAAGGCCGCGGATTTCGGCTTTGGTAAGGCGCAGGGCGTCGAAGGCTTGGAAGAGGAGTCTGTGCCATGGCCAGCGGCACAGGCGAATTCTATGCGTCGGGTGAGTGTAATCGAGGCCGGGGTATTTGGCCTCCTGGGTTTCGAGGTGTCCGTAAAAGGCATGCGTCTCCTGGCGGACTTCGGGGATGAGGCTCATTTGCAGAAACGTCTGGAAGTTTTGCGGATCGCTGGCTTTGGGCTTGGCGTAGAGCCGGTCGTACACAATGTCTTCGACTGGACGGCCCTTCATTGTGCCCCTTTGCTACTAGTCTGATATCTGGGCGTAAAATTCTGGGTATATTTCAGCAGGCTCGATTTCTATCCGGCCGAAAAGCGGTCGCAGTCGGCTTTTGTAGCAGCGGCACAAGGAATTGGTGGCGGCGAAAGGGCAAGGACGAGGCCAGGACTCGCTCTCTCAGCTGGACAAGTAAGCCGTAGATGGGTGAGAGGCGGGAGAAGCCGAGATGGCGGATGACGACGGCCGAGTGCTGCCGCCTCAACAAGTGACAAAGTCGTGCACAGCTGTGTCCAGGACTGTGGGCTCAAACGAAGGTGAAGTGCCGTGTCGCACGCTCCTTAAATTGAAGACTTGATGCAGCCAAGGAAGGCAAAAAGAGCGGCGGCGTGGGTAGCGGAGAGTGGGAGTGAGTGTTGCACTTGGACTGTCGTCGGTCAAGTTTGGGCGGAAAGAAAGCTGGGGGTCGGTTGATATCGGGGCGTGGGTCGCGTCAACAATGCAGCCAGGCACTAGTCATTGAGCCAGATTGCCGTCGATAAGTTACTTGTTGTGTCGCACAACAGCCCGAGGTTGGGAGAAACAAAAATAAAAATAAAAAAATAAAACAGGCGATGACGTCCCGATGTTGTCGAGATAACCGGGCTTGCAAAAGACTGGGTACTTGGTCTTCCAGGTCGCCGAAAGCAGAAGCGCCAACTCGAGACTCTAGACACGCCG